AGTCTTCAGTAATTCCTCATTCAGGACAGTTTGGATAGTGTTTAATAAGTAACACGTGAAACCACTTTTTGAACAGGGAGATTACAATGGAATAGCCTTATCATGTCTTATGCAGAAGTGCTACAGAAATTAATTATAATGGAACCGTAATACCTGCATGTCCAAAGAAAAATAAGGGCTGCACACATAATATTGATGTAATATTTCATAACTGCTAAGTGTTTAACTTACCAATGCTATTTGGTCATATTTGAACAAAAAAATTGTTTTAAAACTCACAAAATCACTTTGATGTTTACACCATTCAAGAAAAATAGTTTCCATGTTTGCAGTAATTTGAAAATTGGGTTGTTTTCATGGTGCATTGGAATTGGCTGTTGCTGGATCAGGAAAGAGAAGTACGAGGTCAGTTGAAATTTCATGTAAAAGAAAAAGCTTCTAATAGAAATGAAACTTATTTTAAAATGTCAATCTTGTTATTGTGTGTCAAGGGTTAGGGAATAATTTATAGTGTGCTTGAGGACAAGAGCTTTATATATCACTTCTGTATTTTTAGCTCATGTGATTGACAGTAGCTTAAAAAGACAGTTGAACTGGAATGAGCAAGAAGTTGAAAGAGTCTTAACACCAGTTAGGCAGAATGTAATTCAGACATCTAACACTCACTTCTGTGGCTGATTGATCAGTCAAATTGCCAGGATATGAGACTGTACCAAAAGAAGACTGAAAGGTAGCAGGACAGTTTCGCAGTATACAAGATTCTCAAAGCTCCAAGTAAGGTATTTCAAAGGAATTCAAGGAGAGTATACCTCTTGTTTTACCAGTGAATGTTCTTTAACAAATGCAGGTTATCTATGTATAGTGTTAAACATGAAAGGTAATGCTATAAACTTTTTTTCCCATTGGCCTGCTATTAATTCATATTCAACATAAAGCCAGTAAGAGTTTAAAAATATTAACACCTGCATATGTATGTATTTACACATATACATCACAAGTAAGTTAAACATTTAACTTGTCCCATACTGATGCTTTTAAACAAGTAATTGCTTTTAGTAGCAGGTACATGTGTAAACCAAGCAGTTAGTACCATTTTTAGCTGACAGAGAAAATAGAGCTGCCAGGTTGCCAAGCCATTCCTTTTCTAGTACTGCCCTGAAAAAATGGGAAATAAAAGAGGGGAGAAAAGATGGGATAAAAGATGGGAGAAAAATTAGAAGCAAATTAAAAGCAAATACAAAGGATCTCTGTCACATTGGTTAAGTTTTCATAATTCTTTTCAATAAAAACATGTATTCTTTTAATGATGTTCAATATGCTACACAAATGATTCCCATTTCTGTAGCAAGGATGAAGGACAGCAGAAATCTCCTCTTATATCACTTTGGAAATAAAATTTGTTCACTCTGCCTTTATTTACACAATCTACTTCTCAAACTGCATAATATTTCCAGGACTTTTGGGGATTTCTTAAGATTTTCCTTCAAACAAATAAAGATCTTGTTTCACAGCCAGTAATACAAGTAGTAAAATTTTTGTTTTAACCAAGGACAGTGTTCCTGGAGTTTTTGTGCCTTACACATCCCACTTGGATTCTGTTAGCACAGTTTAGAAATGTACGTTAGAGCTTAGGCACAAACTATTTGACATTAATTTTTATGTCTTGATTTAAAATGGGCCTTAGCTTATATAAGATGCATGTTCTCTTCAGATTTGCGTATACTGCTTGTTGTTGCTTCTCTGAACAGAAACAGCACGATCTTGAATGAGCCCTAAGCAGTCCCTAAAATGTCAAGAAACTTGCTCTCTGTCTCCAGTGTTGTTCATATAACATACCCGTTTGGTGTCTCATGCTCTTAAAAACATAAAATCCAGTTCTTATTTTTTTCTTCATATAAACAAAACTAGCTGATCTTAAAGGTCCCTTCCAACCCAAGCCATTCTATGATTCTGTGATGCTAAATGTAAATCATAAAAACTACTGTGAAGAAATAACGTACTTCTTTTTTCTTTGCCTCTTTTTATTTTCAGCTATCAATCAAGTCTATGCTGTCAGTTTGCAGTAGCAAGTTTGCTTTCCCGTTTGCTTTCTTGACCAGCAGTTTACTATTTTGTTTCCTTTTTTGCTGTACGTATCAGAGTTCTTTCTTTTCTATCATTTAGGGAGGTTTGCACTTGTAGTTTTAATTGATGTGTGAGATTTTGTTTGAACCCTCTTTCAGTACAAAACCTTTTCATTTTGCTTCTTCAGAACAAGGTCAGTTCCAAGTGAGGGACAATGTATAATTGTTACTGTATTTGCATCCCTGAAGACTGTCCTTTGCATTTTGATCTTATTTTGTTTCAAATATTGGATAATGTCTCTTTTATTACTGCTCCAGTGAAAGGAACCAATGCAACCCTCTTGTTTTTGTGGTGCATTCATCAATACACTTGCACTGTCCTGTTTGAAAAGTGGTTAGCATGAACACTAATCTGACGATAAAATGTCACGTGTTTATAGTCTACTGCAAAACAAGGATCAAAATCAAATAAATCTTTATGTAAAAAGGTGGGAGACTAGGAAAAAAACTCAGAAAAAAGAATTTGGAGGTAGGAAGGCATATTCCAGGTTTGAAGGTGACTTTTCTTTAGTGTCCAGGCCACTAAGCATAACAGTTAATAAGCAGCAAAAAAATCTTGCTTCTGAAGTGATTTTGCTTTCAAAAGTTTTTTGTTTGTATCTTCCAAGTGACTGAATGAGTAACTCCACTTGTAGACAGCAACATTGTTCATTTGCTGTTATCAGGGGGATAGAGGATTTAGCCACTGCAGTGTGCATGGCAAGAAGATATTTCTTGCCACTTAAATGTTTAAGTGTATAAAAATTTTAAGTAACATTGATGTGAAACAGTAGTGTTCTGTACTGAAGGGCATTCAGTGCCAGTCACCTGTTCTACCTCTTAGGTAAATCACCCTTAGAAAAAGCAGCTGCATCCCACACAGTAAAGTGTCTTCATGTTACTCCTGCAGTTTCACGTAGAGATTACATGAGTTATACACCTGCTCACTTATAGTGTGTGCAGCACCTCATAAACAGGTCTGGCATTTATGAGACAGTTAGAGGAACAGAGTCCCTAAAGCGTTAACTGCCGCTGTGCTTTTTATAGTCTGCTTCCTTCATTACAGCTTGGCAAAATCATTATCTTTCCTGTACCTTGGTCCTCTGTGTCTGTGTATGTTTGGGTTTCTGCTGGTGGTTCCACATTCTGCATGCTTTCTTAAAAGCAGAGCAGTATGCTCTCCCATAAATGATAAAGATCATGGGTTAGCCTCCTACAATCTCTGTACATTGAGAAATGGGCTCTTTCTTTTGGTGATAAATCATGTTTTGGTGTCATTGTTCTGAACTGTTCTTCATGTTGTTCAACTGAGTTGAAGTGTACTCACATAAGAGTTAGCTTTTCATATTGGGCTGGAAACTCTTCATCTTTGTGTAGCAATTTCTTTTATTATAACCAACGGCTTCTAATTGTACCTCCCATAATGAAGAGCTGACTTTAATACTCTGTGCTAATCTTGTTATGACTTATAAAAGGTAAGTAATTTATCTCACCATTCCTTATAATCATGGTAAAGTGTTAAAGGGTTTTTCGTTGTTTTTTTTTTAATTATTATTTTTCACTTGAGATTTTCATTTGTAGCATAAACTTTTCTTTGTGTCTTTTTCTGTTTTTCTTGTAACTTTTTTTTTTTTTTTACTTTTCTTTGCAGTAAAACATACCACGTAGACTTATATAAATCCAGTTTAGTGCAGTCATTAATTTCCTTTTTCAGACCAATTTTAATAGAAGTTGTCAGCAGGTTTCTTTATTTTACCATTCCCTTAATTTAGTTTTGAGTACTTTTCTTCATGTTCTATTTAATGCCTCGGCTGGGAGAAGGCTTACTCTACATTCTGGCATGATAAAATTATATCTTAAAGAACATAAAATCCAATTTTCAACTTGCTTTAAAAAAAAAAGTTAAAAAGTAATGTGAGTTGACTGTTTTAGGTTTCGTTACATTCTGCCTGAACTACGCAGGGGAATGGAACTGAATGACAGCCTGCTGTATCTTCCGCCATGTTATACTGGGAGCCGAGGGGTGGTAGAATGGATAAACAATAAAACTACAGTTTCCCTCTGTAAGGAGAGACAGCCACAGCATATTATTTCTGTAAACTGCCTGTCAATGAAAGTGATTATAGTAGATAACAGTGTTACTGATCATTTGCCCCACTCAGTCATGGTAATATGTGCAGTGTGTTATGGATTCTTCACTTTGCAATAGCTGTGAAAATAATAGTTTTCTTTTGTAAATGTCACAAATGCAGTATTAAAACAAATAATGAGTATTATAAAAGGCACTTAAAGCATATAACCCCATTGATACAAAGCTCCATTACAGCTAAAACTCTGTGTGTTAGAAAACTTACGCATTTTATTCAAAACCATATTTTCTGCAGTTTTATTTTAAAATAGTGTTTAGGATATCGATGTGAAGTTCATATTAAAAAAGCAAATATTACTTAATAATTTTGATGTCAGTTATGTTAAAACATGGTTTGTATTCTGCAGCTGTGAGCATAGGTTGGGAAACAATCAAGTCTAGCTGGTCAAGCCTTTTATTTTATTGTCATGGATTCCTCTGCCACAGCTGCTTTTAAAATTTGTGGGAAGCAAATAATTTGTCATACTGCATGTGTTGCCCATCAGGTGAGTGATAAAATGTAAACTTTAGGTCGGTTGTAAGAACTCAAAACGTAAATTTAAATTTGTCACTGAAGTCCTCTGTGTGCACAGAATTTAAAAAAATGACCTGTAGGCAGCTGTGTGAAGCCAGCTGTCTGTTGTTACCATTGTCATTTGGACACTGTAAGAGCAAAACTTTGTCAGCACGTATTTTATATTAGAAGATTTGATCTGCAAATCTCAGCTGCTCTGTTCATTATAAATCTCTTGTTTTTGTCCATACACTAGCTCCACTATAGGTTGGAAGGGCTTAAAGATGAACTCAGGAGGAATAGAGGCTACAACTCGAGAGTAACTATTACTGCTCAAAGGAGCTGTTTTCCATTCGCAAACATTGCTTTGCGCTATGGGTTTGGGCTCCTTCTGTTCCTCCACTTTGTTGAAGATTCTCTCTTGACTTCCATTTTACTTCTTTAGCACTGTCTTTGTCTGCTAACATTTTTCCTCCTTCTCTAGTAGCTTTAATCTGTGTCCTTTGGATCACATATTTTACTTAGTTTATTTTAGTAGATCGTTTCAAAGTTTGTGTTTTGTATTTTTGTTTTTATGCCTTTTTTTCTTTAGGACTACGTTATCTCACTGAGTTTCGTTCTGCAGTTTGCTGAATTGCTTGGTTATTTTGCAGCAGGCACATTCCTCATTTTCTCTTTTCATATGGTTTGCAGTGAGAAATAAGAGAGCCTCTTCCATTCTATACAGTAGTCTTACACATATAGGCCTATGTCTTCTTTGGCATACCCTGTCTTTTGGCTTGCCACGTCCCATCCTGCTTCTCTATTTCTCTCTCTCACTCTGTGCCTCTCTCTGTTGTGCTTTCTGTCCGATCATTATACCATCCTTTTGGTCCAGAATTGTCCTTTGGTAAATTGCAGATAAACATTTACTTCTTCCAATGAGAGTTCATGTCATACCTTTGAAATTTGATAAAACAACTCTGGGCCAAATTTGGGCATCATTAATTTTTTGTTTGCAGTTTTCTTGTGTAGTATTTTTGGTGGGAAGGAGGGAGGTTTTGGTTTTGATTTGTTGTGGTTTTTTTTAGACAACAGTTATTTTCAGGAAAGGACACCATAATCCACTCTAAGTTGCAACATTACTTTCCATAAGTTATTCCATTATAATAAATAGACTGTGTTGCGCTGTAGAATCTGATTTTTTATGTGAATACACATTTGGGGCAAGCTGCTGTGGAACAGAAGAAAGAGGTTTAGAAATGGGGCACAGCTCTTTTCAGCCTTAAATGGCTGTTTCTTTGTGAAGACAGTCTTTTAGGGGCTGAGTGTGTATCATTCCTCATTAACTGTCAGACCATACATATTCACATTCAAAACAAGTTTTCTTTAACTACAAATTCTAACTGTAGCCTAAAAATAATCTGGATCCATTCCTTCATTTTTCAGCAAATATAAAAGTTTGGCAAGGAAAATTGCACCCTCTATTGTCACCTGTGCTATTCCACTTCTTTTACTATTTGTACTTAGTTTTGCTAATTATTCCTCCCAGAAATTTAGCAATGCAGCTGTCACTAAAGTAAAAACGAGAAGGATTCAGTTCATACTCTTAGTGGTTTGTCTTCCTGTGAAGTTTGTGTTAGCTTGTATGCAGCCAGGGGTTTGTCCACAAGAAGATCTCCTTATTCAGGTCTCACCAACCCAGTCAGCTGGCCTGTCATAAGGCAGGATGCTGTTCAAATTAGTCTGTCTAAAAACTTGCACTCAGTAATAGTATATAGAGTGGGATCTTTCCAAACTTGAAAATTAACAAGAGCTGACATTTCAGTAAAGTTCAAACTGTGTTGTGTTTGCAGGACTGATGCTCTTCAAAAACATATTTTTAAAAATCTGCATGGTTGCCAGATGGAACTCTAAATATCCCATGTTAATAGAATATGAGACCAATGTGAATCCTCCAATTTCACTGCAGTCAGTCATACCTATCTGGAATAGCACAGTGGCAGTAAGCATTCAGGGAGGGGATTTATTGAGAAAGCAGTTGTCATTCTCACACTATTACGTTTTAAAGCAGAATTGCACTGTGAAATTCATACTGAATGTAACATTTCTTTTAACTGAACAGAAACAATGAAGTAAATTTATCTGGCTCCAGACAGGAGCTGTTTATACAACTCTGAGCTATCTGTGCAATTTGAAGAAGGATTATTGAATTTTTTCAGAATCAGTTTAATTCTTTAAAGTACCTGTACATCATCAATAATGGAATTTTAACCCTGGGCATGATAATAGTTTTTGTTTAATCATAAAACAGAGGACATAGATTCAGAATTACTGTAATGGCAATTGTACACAAATATGTGGATTTTTCTTTTAAAACTGGAGCTTAACAAATAATTTTGATCGCTGTGTTCTTTGAGTTTGCTCTATTAATCTGTCCTTAGGCCATCTTGGGGTTTTCTTGGAGGGAAAGTTTAAATTGCCTATATTAGATTCCGACCATGAGCTAGTACTCTCGTGCTTAAATATATTTATTTCTTGTAGAGTAGGGACAAACGCTGGTGAGAATATGTAGAGCCTCTGTCTTAGATCCCAGGAGCTTGCCCACTGTATCTCTGTATTTTGCATTCTTGTTAACTTCTGTAGCTCATAGGCTCTGTGCTCTCTCTGCAGGTCCAGTCTAGGTGCAGCAGCAAGGAGAACATCCTCCGAGCAAGTAAGTACTGAAACTTCGTATCTGTGTTGTGCAACTAACACTACCCACAGGACAGCAAATTATAGTCAGGTGAGAAGGATAAGGCTGGAATGAAATTTAATATCTTAAGGCAATGAATTTCAGTCCAAAAGGAAAATAAAAGTGTATATAGCTTATAGTGTTCACATATTAATTGATAGTGGCCTTTTAATTTTTCTTGTTACGTTGTTTTTCTGATGACACTGAGAGCCCTGTTGTTTGTGATGATGTATTGTTGTAAATGATGCTGCGTGTGGAAGTGTGTGCAAGGACATAAAGAAACAACACTTAAAGATTATAAAAACCTCAAGCTGAAAATACACAATTTTTATTTTCATACCTGAATGTGAAATTCAGTACAGACATTCAGTTGGTGTACGTAAGACCAGTAAAATAACAAAAAGGTTAAGAATTCAGATTTGTGCTAAATTACCCAGTTTCTGATCTGTTAAATGCCTTTAATTTCTGTTTTATGGGATTCTTTCCTAGTTTAAAATTTATTCGACCATAAATATATATATAAAATAACATACATAGGAAATTGTATTCGTGAGGAGAGACGGCTGTCAGGAATTTTCTGCATTATACAACCAATTCACTTAGCTGCTTCAATGCTAGAGGATTGTTTTGTCTCATAAAATGCTGCTTAATGTAGGTAGTCATCTGATACTTGGGAAAGATACTTGGGAAGGTCTGAGGAGTTATTTAATGTCATCTACGTGATGCCTTGAAACTAAAATTTAGCACTCATTTCTAGGACAAAAAAATATATAAAGGATTAGTAGTTACACATGCATCTTTGGGGTTTTTCTGTTCATTAAGGTTATTCATTTAAGCGCTAAACTGAAGGGATGCTTATTTCTGAGTATGTGGGTTTTTTTGTTTCTCTTGTATAAATGCTGGGTGTTACTGTTAAAACAAAGTTTCCTTGTCAGAAAATAGGGTATTTAATCTGTTTTCAAGAAGTTTTCTAACTGGGTTTTACCACAACCTTTGTCTAAACAAATGACATGGATGAGACACAGAGCTCCAAATTTGATGTTGTACACTTTGACAACATTCAAAGCATTTGAAACCTCTGAATTCATTCAAGATGGCTTTAAAAGGTCAAATGTTATTTTCTCAAGTAGTTAGCAGTGAGTTTGAGATAGCAGTAGAACACAAACATGTAAGCATGTTTACTGGAAAGATTGTATTGTTTCAATGTACTCACCAACATTAGCTCTGCATTTTCACCACATTTGTAATGGAATATTGGTGGGAAAGTTCAACCTCTATTGCCATACCATGAACATCGGCCTCTGACAATGTGGGCCAACATAATAAAATTGGAGGCACTACTTTTGTAGCAGCACATTGTTGCTAAGCAGAGTTTTTTTCAGTGATATGTATGCGAGGAAAGGTCTGGGAGCTTGGACTTTTTTTTTCCTGTGCTTCAAAATTTTTTTTCTGGGCTCTATTTTCAATTTCCTCATTTTTATGAGGTTTCTAACAAAATACAGTCATGAGAATGCAAAAATTGTTGTTGAATCCTGGAATGCACCTTTCCACTAGTTACACGTGCCTCTTACAATATAATTTTGGTATTTTCTCACTAGTTTTCTTGATAAGAAACTTATGTTTATGAGTGTGAAAAATCTTAGTATAGTTAAATTATATTTGATCAACTGTTTCTCACTTCCTTGATATGACAACTACTGCGTTAAGGGAAGGAATTAAATGAGTTAGAAATTGTTTGTCCTAGACAAATTCACAGCACCTGCTTTGATCATCACATTATCTTCTAAGTACTTATAAAGACAAAGACATTGTTTCAATAATTTCTTCCAGAATCTTTCCTGGGACTCAAATTAAGTCAGCAGTTTTATTTGTCTCCACTTCTTCCTCTGAAAAATCATTACCGTGTTAATGGCAAAAAATGAATTAACTAAGTCTCTCACATAGCAGATTTGAACAAGCATGTGTCAGTGCTGAAAGAAGTTTTGTGTAGACAAACATTACTGATTCAGCAAAATATAAAACTGCGCAGTTGTTTTATAGAAGACTACACTTAGAACAATCATCTGATTTTTTTTCCAGAATGTGAAGGCATGGACAGGAGAAAATGGGATAAGTAGAAAGCTATTGCGAAGCAAAATCATGTCATTATTAACTGTGCTTTCTCTAATTTGTTAATACTATCTTAAAATAATTGATTTTGTTTTAGAAATAATTACGAATTAGCTACTGCTTAGTAGGATAGTGATGGATGGAAATGAATTAAAAGCAAGTGAGTAGAGACGGAAGAAACTGGGAAGATATTAAGGATGATCAAAATGGGAACAGAAATACATGAGATAAAAATTGTCAATTAAGGAATACAACTGGACTGAAAAATGGCAGACAGACAACTTTCAGATCCTATGAGCATGCTGAGGAGCGCCGCCGGTAAAGCCAAGTGAAATCAATCATTAACCATAATTAGTGTATATAATGTACATTAGAATTGCAGACGGGCCTTACTACTGTGAGAAACTCTGCTGAGGATGTCTTCTGCGTACAGCCAGGCATGATACCTCATGATGCTTTAATGTCCTTTTGTTGTTCTAGTTGTCTGGATAGGGAAGGTGGCCAAGTGCTGATGGTATTTTAGATTCATTTTTACATAGAATTCTCACCACATCTTGCATTGCTCTGAAGCAGTTCTTGTTAAAGTCCCTATTACACTCTTCATAGTCAAAGCGCCATAATTCAGTTTTGTTGTCTTTAAGCTGGCAGTTTCCTGGTCTTTTCTTAATATTCCAACAGCTCTTTCAATAAGACTTGCATGGAATCACCTTTTTTTTCTGGAAATCTCCAGATTTCTGCTGTTCTACTGAGCTGTGTCCTTGTTCCCTTTCTTTATACCTTTAGACCTTACTGTGACCCATCAAACACAAATTCAGCCACTCTGTATATGGAGATCTCCCTACTCTGTGAAGTTGTCTTGTTTTGCATGTCTCTAACATTGATTCCTAGCCATCCTCCAGTAAGTCACTGTGGGCCAAACACAGTCCCCCTTAGCACTCCACACTGATATTACGTGAGCTTCATCTGTGTCATACACCTTGCTCTATTTTCCTGCAGACTGTGCATATTTCTTGTAGAGTTGTTCGGTACAGATCTTGAGATAGGATGTTTCCTCTTAATCTGGACTTATTCTCAAGATTCTCCATTTGTATTTCTAGATCATCCTATTTGGCTCCCACAAATACCCTCTTGTTATAGGCAGATCCATTCAAGATATTTCTAAAAATACCATTTTCTTAATCTTTTGGCTTGTATCTTTTATTCTTTTGTGCATTAGTGCAATAGTTCCTTCACTTCTGTTGCTCACCTTCGTTTCAAAATCCTTCAAAGCTTGTTGTCCCTTGTTTATTCTCTCTCAGCATTAAGAAAGCACATACCCTGCTGGCTTCATTTTCAAACAGTTTTTTCACATTTTCTTCCTTGTATTTGGGGAAAGCAAATTTCTTCTATTGATCAATCCTTCTGTCTTCATTCACATCAGAATTTAAACATCACTTATCTTGCAGTCACTTTGATGGCTACAAAATCCTGCCCATGGATAGGATGCCCCCTGACTTGAAACACTGTCTGTTGTTATGACTCCCATCTTAACTTACATTGCAAACTCACTGGAACAAGGTCCATTTTTATGTTTTGTTTGTGCACAGTGTATTAATATGTGTTTGTGGAGCATGATTGTACATATACTACTAGTATATGTAATGATCTATGCTAAATCAGTAAAATACTTATTGATTTCCGAGTTGCCAGTGTTTTAAAGACAGTATTTAAAATCCTTATTTATGTTGGAACAGTATTGACGACCGCTTTACATTTCCAGCCTTTATACACTGACATTGCTAATATCTCTTTTCTTTGTTAATTCTCACATTAATATCTGATACAGTTGCTTATTTTATCTGAGTTAGTCATAATTGGGGAAGAAACATGATTTGTGTTTAAGTTGTGATATACAGAATCTTCTGCAGACCATTAAAGTCAAAGGTGTGGTACATTAAATTTCTCTCCAAGGACATTATTGTAGATTTTGAATGGGAAATGGAGAAAAAGAACATATAATGGAACTCAGCAGGTCTGATTCTGACTGTCAGATTGCAGCTGCCCATCAGAAGGTTGTGGGAACAATCTGGGAAGAATGGAATGAGTGAATGATTTTTCCTGAGAAGCAGAACAGAGTTGGCTTCAGATTATCATCCACCGTGTTAGATACTGCATCCTTTTTGAAATACTTCTGTTTAGGATTAATTGATCCTTTTATGCTTATCAAGACTTCTGGTGTGTATTTCATGACGAGAAAGGATATACATTTTAATGAATGGTTTTATTGCTAACTGCTTTTTGTATTTAATCTCCCTTTTGATGCAATACCTTCCCAGCGTCTGTCATAAATGTGATAAGTAACTCAATTAATTTACCCCAAAGTGCTTGGTATATTCCAGCAAAGTGATTTAAATGTTTACATCTACGCATAGAGGCATACATAACCATAGTGCTCTCTTTTCAGGTCACAGTGCTGTTGACATTACCAAGGTAGCAAGAAGACACCGCATGTCTCCGTTCCCATTAACATCTATGGACAAGGCCTTCATCACAGTTCTGGAGATGACCCCAGTGCTTGGAACAGAAATCATTAATTACAGAGGTACTTTACACGTAGTTGGATTTTTATGTGAGAAGTATGATGGTTATTTCCCATTTTTACAATCTTCTTAAGTGCTTGTCCTTCTAACAGTTTTTGTGAGAGGCTTAGACTGATCTTCTCCAGCAGAAACTACTTTAGGAAATGACAATAATTGGAGCAGAATTCTCCTTTCGAAGTCAAGAGAATGTGAACTAATCTCAGCCTGGCTTCCTGAAGGAATCTGTAATAGAACTGTAATCAAATCTATGAATAAATTTTCTGATAATCTGTGGTATATGCAACAAAGCTAAAACCAAGAAGCCACAGTTTGCCTCAGTGGTGAATATAACACTGGATTTCTGTAGATGCCAACTGGCTAAAAGTTGAATTGCAATGATTCACAGTTCTTTCACTCTAAGAGTCTTACTTACCCCCTTTCTCGTCCGACATTGATTAAATACTGAAATACAAATAAGACTGAAGTTAGTAGGGACTGGGAAACCATCAGGAATTCTTCCTGTTTTTCCAAAGCTGAGATGATGAGCAAAAAGATAGTGGCACCACAAGCCTGAAGAGTGAAAATGTTCAGGTCCTCAGTAGACTCCAGGTAGCAGAGAAGTACAAATGGTTCCTAATTTGGATATTCCCTCTTCTGTCTAGAAGGTTCAAAGATTACATGTCCTTCACCAAATCTTTATTCTGCTACAAGCCTTTGAGATGTTTTCACATTGACAGATTGATTTAGTGTACATACTTGGTAATGGGAAGTATATCTCTGAGAAGATACTGCATATCTTGCATTCAGAATAGCACCAAAAGTGGACCAAGAAGGAATATGCATATTACACACTGCTTTTTCATAATGGTATGCAGTTTAGTATGCCTGGGCATACCTATTAGACCTTCTTGGATAGTTGTCTGTATTCTGGGCCTGATCTTGAGGCTGCTTTTAGATGACAAGTGTTGACATGCATTTTGTGTGGAAGCTGTCTGTGAATATAGATAAGATACAAAGTTTTAATGCCATACATACTGCCAGTTTCAGTCCCGCTATCACTTGGATACTCAATGCTTTCTGACTTTTTTGAGTTTCTTGTTAAAGACTGCTTGCATTGAGAGTGATGAAAGTAAGGAATGGTGCTGCTATAGTGTAAAACTATTCCTCATAGCAGTTCTTTTTTGTTGTAATGTGCAGTATGAAGTCTACTACCTTTATTAATTTTTAAGACGTGCACCCATTACTTGCAATTCAGGAATTTTCTTAATTGATGTATATTGAACATTGTAATAAAAATACAGAGGAAATATAAAGAGCTTAGTAAACTAGGACTGTTTATTAAAAGAATTAGTCATTTACAGACCCAACTTCCTTTTTTTTTTTTTTTTTTCCATTAGATTTAAAGACAGCATTTTGTGGACAACATAATGAGTGCTAGGTACACTTATTCAAGAAGTATACATATCAAAAGGCATTTGTTGTAGATAAATCAACATGGGACTTAGTCTGCTAGAATAGCAGTAGCATACTTTGATGATATGTAGGCAACAAAATGTAACAGAATATTGATGGGAAGGTTCAAGCACTACTGCCATACCATCAGCATCCACCTCTGATGTCATGGGCCAACATAATAAAATAGGAGGCATCACTTTTGGAGCAGCCCTCATATTTGTGGACAAAAGCTTTATTGCCAATGAAATTAAGAATGTAGCTAAAAAAAAGCATCTATTAGGGAGCCAGAAAATGAACATAATTCTCATATGGTACATATAAGTTAACCATTTATTTATGTGTATACACCGTTCTTATAAGCCAGTATTGATGCAGTTACAAAAGCAGTTGAGTAGAAGTCTTCTCACATATCTCATCTGCAAACCTTTTCATTGGAATTATGGTAAAATTCAACAAAATCATAGCATATATCATGGCCTGCTGCCATATGCTTTGGACAAGCTTTCACAATTCAATGTATTTCAATATTAAAAAATCAAAATATGGGCTAGGTATCAGGTTTTTCTTAATGCTGATAATGCTACCATACAGATAACAGAGAGATTCTGTCTAGACTGCATGGTCTTCAAAATGTCCTTACGGATAATGAAGGTAATTGATCTCGCTTACGTGTTCATCTTCTGTGTAGAATTTGATATATTCTTGTTTGTCAAAGGCAATTTGATTGTTTCTGTTCTTATTCTATGACATGGGAATATGCTGTCAAGGTAAGAGAAGGCATTCTAGTATGCCTTCTAATATCTTATTTGATATTATATTTTATCTCTTCATGTTACCTAATTAAAGACACCAAATCCATGCTGATTCTAAGTCTGGAGCTGCTGCAGAGATATATACTTGGTTTAATATTCATATAATTATACAAACAAAGAATAATATTAATAAAGACATATTCCTTAGTATCTTGGCAGTGTAGCACAAAACCACATCTTATAAGTTATTTTTCCGTAAGTATTTTAGTGGTGTAAGAATTTCTAATACATTGTGTGAAATTACAATATTGAGCCTTTAGGAAACATCCTAGAAGATACATCTTTGTGATACTACAAGTTTAATTATCATAATCTACAGATATAAATCTCCTGGTGGGATCTCAGTTCAATTCTCTCATAAGATTAGGGGAGGATGAATAGTTACCTTGTGAAAAAAAGTCTTTCACATTGATAAATGTATTATTCAGTGCCTGGATAAATGATTTAACCTCCTTTATGTTAAAAAACAACTGGACAGCTCTAAAACATTTCACACAAGCAACATAAACCAAAAGTGTTTCAAGCTTTTTTCCACCCACTGTTACCTATGTCTGATATGAAGCTCTCAGTTAGCCTTGCATTCCAGCTAGATGCCATTACCTAAACATTATTTTGTGGATATACAAGGTAAAGTCTTTAGACAGCACGATAACAATTATCATTTTCTAGCTAAGAAGAGGAAGTTTAATTGATACCAGAAGTAGAAAGTAGAGACAACCAAGTCTTAACAGCCCATTAGACTTAAGCTTCGGAACTGAGGAGTTTTGCTAATTGAGTCCAACAGCCCTCTAACTTCTGTAGAGCTTGAACATGCTTTTCTGCTGCTTATTTGTTCTGAACTTGTCAATTATTTCTATAGCACTGCATTTTCATATCACACTGAAGATATAGTAGTACTTACGAAATGGAAGATTTAAAGCTCTAGCACAGTACCTGTCATCTCGCTACTTTATCCCAGTACCCTTGGAAATCAAAATTCTTCACAGAACTGTGAACTGCTTTCCCCAGTTGAGCTTTAGAAAAGAAATATTCAGATTCAAAAAGAGCATTTCATGTCATTCTCCATTTTGCATTAGAATCAGAAAACTGTGGGCATCTCATGAAACTGCTTGATGACATCAGAAACATTTCAAAATATGTTTTGGGAATTGCAATTAATCAAAATAAAGTTGAACAAGGTATTTCTTAAATGTTTGTTCACATAAAGGGGAGTAAAGAAGTGCTTCAGATTGTCCGTTAGTTGCTGACTAGCTTCATTTTAAAAGCTCTGGCATTTAAAGGCTCTGGCAAGTAGTTCTTACATTTTTCTCTGCTTAATGACATTCATTCCCACTACTGAGTTGCCATTTATTCACTTCAGATACTTCATGGCAGAAAGCCAGGAACATACTGTTCAAATTTGCTCTGATTAGTGTGATTTTGCATGCAGACAAGAAGTAAAATGAAGATACGACGTGCCTACTAAAATTAGAAGCATCACTTTTGTATGAGATTCTGTGTGTCTATGAGCAGAGGTTGTTTTTACCGGCATTTGAAAGCTGGCTTTTCTGTGCTATAATGTAAATGTCTGCGTGTTCTTTTCAGTGCAAATGTTCAAGCTTTCAGTGAGCTTTCTAATAACTCCCATACTGTGTATCACAGTGATAAGCAGAAGTGCTAATAGCCATCACAAAAGTGTTTTTCTAGTTGCTGTAATACGTTTTACCAGAATTTTCATAGTAAGCCGTATTTCAAAAATGCAACATAAATATTTACTTGAGGCTGAATAGTTGGTCTGTGAGTGCAGTGATGTTAGAGTTACTATAATTATAAATAATTACTTACTAAATCACATTGTGGTCACAGGTAAAATATAATACCACTTCGCTACAGCTGAACATTTCCAAAACACATAGGTGCACTTCTTGACAAAATATGTCTGTTTATTTAGAGACCCAGTCAGGTCTCCTACCTTCCTAGCAAATCCAGACAGATGTAGATTTTCCTGTCAGGCTGCAAAAGGAGAAACATACTTCATTGAGATCTTTTGTTTCTTGGCATATCTGATATCCTACAACATGCTTATCCACACAAATTCACCTGGAAGGAGTACTCTTCTGAGTACTTCTGAGTGAAAGTTCGCTCTCATTCCTTCATGCTGTCAGGTGGATTTTGCCTTCCTGTGCCGCAGCATGCTCCTGAGCAGTGGCTTCTGTTATAGAGGAGCTGCTTCCACTTTGACATACTGGAATCCATCTGATGTCAGTAGTTCTGACCCTTCCTACTCCATGTAGTCAGAAATGTAATAAATCCTCTTTATCACTTCGTGAAGGGATAAGATATATATTTTCCACTCCATTCCACGTCGTACAAAAAAGGCTCTTGCTCACACTGTGAAAGCAAACAGGTAAAGTACACGAGACTGAGGGGGAAGTGGTTCATGTCGGTCGCTATGGTGAGGCAAAGCCAAATTACAGCTCATCAATCATGGTTGCTAAGTGAAGGGAAAGAGTATGTTTGAAACAGCTAGTAAAATATTTAGAACTACTACAGCGTAAATTTACATAAATAATCCTGACACTTATGTTCACTCATCCTCCAGTAATCAGAAGTGTTATCGACAATTAGGCTTATTCTATTACCTTTCATGCTTTGCACAAAAACTAACTAACTAACTAAATAAGTAAAATTAAAATACAGAACCACGTGCAATTTTAAGAGATTTCAGGATAAACAATATATATTTTTTTCTGTCTGATCACATATCAGAGCTATGACCTCTGTGTTTGGTTACCTGGCTTCCTGATCAACTGTCAATGATTTTACCATAACGGATCATTTATTGCTGCTCCTACAGAAAGATTCCAGTTTGTTTGTTTGTTTCATTTATGTAAAAGTTTTAACAGAAATCAAGAACCTGAGAGATCTGATCTGTTCATGAGATCTCTCACGTACACATATGTTTCATCCATCAGAGCACACTGCTGTCACTCTGTTTTCTTTTTCACTAGTTCTAATGACATGGAGCATGGTCTTTTCTCTTTTCTCCTTTATAGATGGAATGGGCCGAGTCCTTGCTCAAGATGTATATGCAAAAGATAATCTACCACCATTTCCAGCATCTGTAAAAGATGGCTACGCTGTCAGAGGTAAAATCTTACTTCCTTAACATGCAGAGCCAGTAGAACTACTTTTCAACATGTCTTTGGTTCACTTTCATGTTTTGTCAGTCAAGCAGCACTTGTATTTTGGATCCAGCTATGGGTGTTTTGCTTAAGATTTGATCCAGTTCACTCCTGGAATTATTGCTACATGCAATGCAACTATGTGAAGGAAGTTCAATTTAGATCTTTTAAATGGATACATGAACAAATGTACATCTATGTGTGTTCATGGACATGTGCCGTTGTTGCTAATGAGTTCCTTGGAAACACAAAGAATTCCATGAGAGTAACAGAACATCTGTTTCTGAATAACTTGTGATTCTTCTATTTCTCTGTTGTTGATTTCATCAGAATTTGCTTATTGTAGCTCTTACTTCACTGAACTATTACAGATCCAGCTCCCTATTTGTGAATTATTTAATGATTGCCTTAGAAGATTTTGAAAAATATGTATCCTAATGTTATCTTAGGGAGGCACCTCAAAAGAAAATGTAATTTGTACTTCAGAAAAATTTTGGTTACTGTATCTAAATGAACAGTAGGGTTTTAAGGAGCAGGCAGGGAGCTGTTTCCCCACAGAACTGAATCTATCTTCTGCTTTGCCAGTAGGTGCTTTTAAGCAAGCTGTTTCTCTGTGCATCTTTTTTTTTTTTTTTTTTTTTCCTTTTTAAGGATGACTAAAGATATTTACTTAAGTATCTGTAGAGAGAAATTCAAATATATATGAATGTGATCGAACATTTTCCTGGTAGTGATATCCTGATATCCTTGTGGTAGGTGTTGCATCATTGTAACACCATGCTGAAATTCAGATACAGTACCCAAGTTCCTTTTAAAGGCATTAAAAGGTCTTTTTTGTTATTGGCAGCTGAAACAATGGAAAGCAGGTGTCCACAAAACAGACTGTCTGCCAACCCAGGCAGTGGATGTAGTCCAATAAGCTTTCCCATGGACATTATAGGAAAATTAACTTTCAGCTCTACAAGATAGATTTGACTGGAGCTGTCTGTTATCCATGTGTGTGAGAGACAGGCAGACCAAAATGGCCAGTAATTGTGGCAAGAGAGTGCAGATGTAGCCAGAGAAACACAGATAATATGGTGCTGAAAAAGATGAGAGGGGAAGCTCTGAGTAGCATGCTGCTGACAAGGGCCTTGGGAACAAGAGAATTCTGTCTTGCAACTTGATTGCTACAAGGTAAGGGAAAGCAGAATTTTGTCCTAGTAAAATGCAGCATGATCAGAATGGTCATGAACTCCATTCTTAGCAACTTTTATGACATACAAGGCCCTAATTTTGGTGGTGGATTCAAATAGAATAACATTATTGTTCTTGTAGATCTGTTATCTCAGGGTATGAGAAACAAAGCTTGTAGACAGAGATTATAAAGGATTAGCTCAAAAACCTTGTCTAGTTCTTCAAGCTGTATCAATTTTATATCATCTGTAAACCTTGTCTCCTTATCACTATTAATTAGGAATAAAATCTAATTCAGTAATATTTTATCAATTTTAAAATAATGTAGCCGTTAAGGATTTTTTCTCCTCTTTTGGAGGATCATCCCAGTGCATTTTTTAGGCTTGACTACTGTATTCAGTAGTATTACATGCATTATTCAAAGACAAGTAGTGGTAGAGTCTCTCTGATTGCCTGGGGAAAAAAAAAAGAAAAAAAAAGGCCAAATGTAGACAGATCCGAGAGAGCCAGAAAAATTTCCTCATTACAAAAAAATTTGTTGTTTTACAGGAAAGTTTCATTTAGGTGAGAGTGCAATTCAGTTTTAATGCCATGCTGTCTTTATGATTCTGTATATTTAGCAAAGAAACAGCTAATAAACTTGAAATACCAAATAACAGTTAATTTGTGAAAATCTCTGAACCGGTTCACAAAGAAAGCAGTATTGCTGCTGTCAACTGCTTAGAAATCACAGGTTGGAGATTCCTATGCTTTTTTGTGTTCTGCATTCTTAGGTTATGCTCATTCATATTTTAAAGATTTTTAATACAACTATGAGGACTAGAAGCTTCCTTCATTTATAATGGAAAGAGTGACTTTTTATAGTCTTTTGGTTCTAGTGCTGGAGCCTTCAAAGAAAACATCACTAATGCAACTTCACTGTAAGACCTTTGAGGCAGGCAGAAGCTTGAACTTTGCTAGGAAGCATGCCTTTAGTGTCCCTGTAAAATTACAAATCTGACTAAAAGTCCTGGAGACTTTCACTTTGTTAAATCAATGATCTCTGACTTTTAACTTTCAAAATGTCTTCAACAAAGGGTTTAAGGTAACTAGTTCAATACTACTTCCTGAATTTCAAAACAAACAAAAAAAAAGGTGGAGAATGCAGATTTCTAAAGCAGCCCTATTGCCCTTCAGAAATCCAGCCAGTGTAATCTGTAACCACTGTGCATGTCCACATTCTCCAAAAGCAGAAATAGAATCTAGAAATGTCAATAAAGTAGATAACAGACTGCATGAAAATATGTGATTCCCATGTGTTCGTCTCAAAGAAAATTTTGCTCACAATGGGACATTTTCATGAACTCCCTTAAGTCTTTGTTATTAATGTAATTTCTCCTCATCTCTTAATCCTGCTTCCGTATCACCAGAAATTTTCTGTTAAAAATCCTATGGCACCTATAATTTTCAAAATAATAAACAACGACTTAAAATCTAAAATGTTTGCAAAACTTCCATAAACTCTGTTGTAATTAAACTGAAAATCTCAATCTTAGATCATTCTTTAGCTCTCCCACTCTTAATTTCTAATACTGTCATTTGTTTTGGTTCAACCTTTGCCATTTGTGTTGTCCATCTTAACAGCTGCAGATGGTCCAGGGGATCGATTCATCATTGGGGAATCCCAGGCTGGAGAGCAGGTAAGTACAATTTCTTCTCTCATTTTTCTTTTTAGTGTATTTTTCTCTTGTAAGGTATTGCTTTGTATTTTTACAAGCCTCTCTAGGGCTTCCAAACTCAGTATTCTTGGAGGTGGCAGGAAGTAGGACACAGCTGTAAAGCCTCCTGCTGTGTGCCTTGGGACATGATTTCAAACAGTGAGGTAGTACGGTTACGTAAGGAACTAACAAGGATATCCTAAAATACTGCAGAGCATTGTGCTGACATGTCCTATAGGAGCACATACTACAATGTTCTGCCTTAGTACAAGGTTAGAGGACACAAGGTTTCTTGTGGTATTACAATTCATAAACAAAGAGAAGCAAGATTTAACCCTTTCTTGCTGACAGATTTTAAAAGGGACATCAGCCTAGAAACTGTTTCCATAAACTCCTTGTATATTTCACTCTGACTCCTGCAGATTTCTAAATACAGAAGTGTATTTAGAATTTTGTAAGAAGTGTTTTAAGAAAGGTAACAATCTGAATGCTTCTTGTGGAAGCATCAGAAGCTTGATTTGCCTCACAGGGAAGCACAGCAGCATAGTTAGCACTATTGTTCCTTTTCTGTTTGTTTAAAGAGTCTTTGTGCTCTTTAGAAGATAAATGGATTGAGTTTAAGGGAAAGTTGGGGTAGCATCCATTCATGACCTGCCGTGTCATATAAGTATTCATAAGTAGAGACTGTGATTCACTGACAAACTCAAGAGTACATTTGATAAAATTTCTATACTAATACTAGGATGACTGATAGAAAAAAGAATCAGTTATGTTCTACCACTTTCATTATTCTGTCAATTTAATTATACTGATACCCTCTGTTCAAGAGAACATGGGTTATCTAAAATTTTGCTCCAGCTGCTTCAAGTCCCAGCATATAATTCTGAGCTGTTTCAGATTTTAGAAGCATTACCTGTTGCAGGATTGTATCTTTTTTTTTTTTTTTTTTTTTTAAATGGAGTTGAATTGCCTATATATGCATAACAAATGCAACATTTCATTTTGCTAATCATGGTAGATACAGGTGCATGATAGATACAGGTGGTGCATCTCCCATCCATTGTCATGAATTATACTACAGTGGCATAAGCATTATCTCAATAATAATACTCGTATGAACTTAGATTGATGAATCTGTTACACAGAATGTGTAAAATTACTTAAAATAGTAGAAATATGTAGATTAGTGGTTCCAGTATTGCTATATGTTTTGAATTTTCAGTCTTTCTGTCTATATTTTCAAACATCAGTCTAAAACACAAGATTGTCAACTATATCTACAACCTTTTATGTGATCATTATAAACTATCAAAACCAGCAGAGCAATCTGCTATACTATCATTTATGTCATTATTTACCTGTCATCAGTATTCTTATTTTGCTAGTTAAAAAGCACTATGGCACAGGGGTGCTTGCAAACAGTACTGGTGAAACTGCGTGGACTTAGAACTGCCCACAGGTCTGAGGGGTTTTGATGTCCTAATCAGTTCAGCAGGTTTGTAAGGATGGAAGGGCAAATGGAAGATTGTTTCCCTCCTACAAAATTCAGTAGCTCATAAATGTGTATCTACAGGGACAGTCTGTCCTAGCAGATTAATCGGAATGGGGGGCATGCAGAGAGAGAACAGTTCTGGAAATCCCAGCGGCAAGTAAGAAAAATGAGGCTGTTGACCTCTGAATAATTGGTCAGAGGTTTTCTCTTGGGCCAACACATCTTCATGTTCATCTCCTTCCCAAGAAATGATTTATAGCCGTGGAAGTCTCCTCAGTCTTATTTCACTCTTCAGTCGCTCTCAGCAGCAGCATACTGCTTTTCATGTTACAGACCAATTAACTGAATGATTCACAGCAGGGAGTTCAAAATAGGTTTAGATTTGGCTCCTCCTGTAGGGAGAAAAAGGTTATGTAAATGCTACTTAAAGAGGAAGAAAATGGGACTGAGAACTACAGAGCAACCATATAGACAAGCTGGACGTTTCTGTATCAATCTGTGAATTGTATATTATTTTCTCAATTACATTTCCAGATGGTCATGCTTATATTAACAGACATCTTTTTATTTGGCATTGAAGAAAACTTTCAGACACGACCCTGCTTTGGAGAGCTTAGGACAGATTTGAGAGCGCTAGTCAAGAGCCATCAGCACAGACTCTGTGAAAAACTAGACCACAGGGAGCAATGATTTTCTTCCTATAGAGTTGAATAGCTGAGGATTAGAATTTCCTGGAAGACCAAAGATGTTTTAAGAGGAGCTGTGACTAACCATAATGGATGGATGGAAATAGACATTTTTCACCTTTCCATTAACTTGACCCTTTTTACAGAAAGGAGCATGGGTCATTGTAAATCTTGCAAGAGAGGTGTAATATTGTGCAAGAGAAAATGCCTGAGATGAGGCTATGCTTGACAGATTACTTCTGGTTTTAGTCAGTGATTAACATAAAAATGCATTATCAGTGATGGAGGTGAAGGGTAGAATTCTGTACTGCCCTATTGCAGGTAGGTGTGAGATCTCAATGACCTTTAAAAGAGCTTCTGTGAAATTGGTGCATTAATATGCTTTCTGAGAAGCAGTGATCTCTTCACAGTGTCTAACACAGAAGAAGAAAACAGCCCTGTCTTCTTTATAAAGTTCATCTGACCAAATTCCCAAAGGACAAAAAGGAAAGGAAATATAAGAGCAATGCAGCTGATTATAAAAACAAATGTTACTGAATCATAAATTTGTTTAAACACTTTCATCACTACACCTCAAAAGAATTAACTGCTTCATATGATAATAAATTCCAAAAACATGGATATTTACTGTGCATTTTATCACCATAAGCACTATTTTCTGACAGTCCTATGCATGCATTTTTTGTCATTCTTGAGGCTGAAAAACTGTATTTTAAATGGGTGAATGTTTATGCAAAACATTTCTCCATTAAAATTTGCTGCTAAAAGGCTAATTATTTAGTAAGTTCAAAACAATATTACTTATTTGTAATGTACCTACAGGAATATGCAAAAGAGATCCCACATTCCCAAGGCTTAAGCTTTGCTTTTTGCAACATTTGTTTTCATAAAAATCAAATCACCACACTGGACAGGATTATTTTCACTTAGTTTTAATCATATTCAGTGTAAATAGCTGCATCTCAGCTATTCATCAACAGCTCCTTGAATGATCTGTGATGAGAATTCTGTTTGAAAAAAGAAAGTATTTCTTTCATCTTATTTATGTTAGATGCCTACTTTAAGATAACATCAGTCTTACTCGGAAAGCATATAAACCGTGGCATGTTGCAACTGTGAACTCTTTTTCCAGTTTATCTTTGCATTTTATGTTCTTCTCAAAGGATGTTAGATTTCCTTTACACTTAGAAAAGGGCTATTCAATCAAATACAAACTCAGTGATTTCTTGGGATGCATAGAGCATTACTGTGGTAAATTAGGTACAATGCATTTTACAACCTTTTCCTAGTGCCTTTATGCCAAAGAACAAAATACAGCAGCCTTTGAAATACACACATTCCAAAGGAATATTCACATTTCAGACATTACAGCTGTGCTGAAATGGAGTAGAATAATGGACAAGGCAAACACAGCTATGTACATTTGAAACATTGGCCACCTGTCTAGAATTTACAGATGTCTAACAACTTCCTGTCAAAAGTCATAGAGTGTATCACTGCTGTGCATGAGCAAATAATAGTGCTTGGACATTACTACTTTGAAGTCTATGGGTAGCTATCAAATATGTGCTAATCACATTCGGTCTGAGAAGTCCTGGACACACTCCAGTGTTGCATATGGAACATAGAGTCAATCAGTACAGGAATTATAAATGTGATATGCACAGAATATGTTGCATTGATCACAGCTGTGTGTATCACGTACACTAATCACAGTAAAACCCAAATAAGTTGGCCCTACTAAGGCATTGTGTGGAGCAAACACATTCCAGCAGTAAAATCTCAATCCTTATACAGCTTCCTTTAGCTGCGCTTCATCACAGAGATTTTTGTTTTCATTATATATTTCTCATGTGGTTGTGGCCAAATTCCAGTTTTACTCCGGACTTTGTACATTTGTATTAAAATAGGCTTCCTGGTGTGAAATGTTATTAAAATCACATCACTTGTTTTATCCTGGTATTTTTCTGTTCTTTGTATTCTTCTAGTCAAACTTTTTGATGTACTGCGTCTTTACATAACTGTAGAGCATTATATATTTCAGTCTTTGCTAAAGTGACCTTTGCGAAAACAGGTATTCTTTGTGAACTGACACTGAACTGTCTCTGATTATGAGGAAATCTGCTTAAAAATCAAGCAGCAGGTTATATGAGAAACTTAGAGATTTAGGAAGGGACCTACAGTGGCCATCCAGTCCAGCTGCTTGATCTCTTCAGGTATAACCAAAAGCTACAGCATGCTATTAAGGGCATCATCCAAATGCCTCTTGAATACTGACACGTTTGGGACATCAACCACCTCTTTAGAAATCCTGCTCCAGTGTCTGACCACTCTTACGCTAGTAAAGTTTTTCCTGCTATCCAGCCTGAACATCTCTTGGTACAGCTGTGTGCTCTTCACTCATGTTCTGTCACTGAGTAGTGGGGAGAAGGAAATACTGCCTCCCTCTCCATTTCCTTTCACCCAGGATAATCTCCATAGTTTTTCTGGGGACTGAAGTTAGACTAACAGTTCTGTAGTTTCTTGGATCTTGTCCTGTGTCCTTCTTGTAGGTCAGTATAGCAATGGCTTCCAGTCACACAACACATAAAAAAAGTAAAAAGGAAATTCAACCTAAGGACCAGAATATTCTGCAGAAATAATCTCCAGGCGTGTAGTAGTTTTTTGCTCATGTAAGTTTCTAAAGGTCTCCATTTAAGTGTGACATTTCTGAGCCACCTGAAAATTATGCTTATGATAGGAATCTATCTGTAAGGAAAAATGAAGCTACCTGATATGTGACCTAAAAGTCAGGTTCCTGATGGTTTTCAAAGGTATTGGAATTTGTTCCTGTCAATATCACTAGCAGTATAACGAGATACATGCCATATGGAAGAATTTTTTTCTTTCAGATTACCTTCACAATGTTCATATCATTTAAGATTTTTCTATTCAAAACCCAATTGTTTTATTTTGTTTTTCAGCCAACTCAAACTGTGATGCCAGGTCAGGTAATGCGAGTTACAACCGGTGCTCCAATCCCTTGTGGTGCTGATGCAGTGGTGCAAGTGGAAGATACAGAACTCATCAGGGAATCAGATGATGTGAGTCACAAGTTAAAACTCATTTTGCTTTTTGTTGCAGCAGCACATTGCTCATGGTGCAATCCTGTAAATATGAAAGATAGTCCTGTAGAAGACCTTTTCTGTTTATCTTAGAAGTTCAAGGAGTTTCATGTCAGTTCCCAGTAGCAATTCTGTTTTTTTAAACTACAGTAACACTACCACAGGCCTGCCTGTCCTGACCTTGATGTTTCTTTGTGGTTGTTGTCTGCCAGCACCAAAGTTTTTGGGAGCACAATTGAATGAAGTGTGAATGCCTCTCAGAGATCCATAGAATCATAGAATAACCAAGGTTGGAAAAGACCTCCAAGATCATCCACTCCATCCATCCACCGACCAGCAATATTGCCCATTAAACCATGTCCCTCAGTACAACATCTAAATGTTTCTTGAACACTTCCAGGGTCCACCCACTCCAGTGCCTAACCACTCTTTCAAAGAGAGGTAGTATTTCCTAAGGTTTGACCTGAATCTCTCCTGGTGCAACTTGAGACCATTCCCTCTAGTTCTGTCATTAGTTACATGACAGAAGAGGCTGATCCACACCTCACCACAACCTCCCTTCAGGTAATTGTAGGGAGCAGTAAGGTCTCCCCTGAACCTCTTCTTCTCCAGACTAAATGATCTCCCTCAGAGGCTCCTCGTAAGGCCTGTGCTCCAGATCCCTCACCAGCTTTTTGCCCTTCTCTGACCATGCTCCAGGGCCTCAGTGTCTTTCATGTAGAGAGGGGCCCATGACTACGGTCCAGTTTGAGTGTGAACTGTATTCACATTTTGAAGTACAGAGTAGTGGCAATTAGACATTATATTTGCTTCTTTTGTACTGAGCTCATGTTCAGCAGCAGATCAATCTCAATGTCTATAGACATTGCCTGTTTGTCATCCCAGTTTGTCTTAGACTACCTACATATTCTTCTCTTTTTCCATGTGTTTGGAGAACTCTTTCTGAAACATTACCTTCACTTAGCCAGCTGTGATTTCAGGACACTATTGTCATGTTTGCCATCATCTGACAGTTTTACCAGCAAGTAGATGTCTCTTCTTTACACAGATTCCAAGTTCAGTTTTGGAATGAAATGTATGCGTGGTTCTCTGCTCATATCAGCCTTTGCTCTGCTGCTGTTCTGACAAGCTGTTCCACTTCAGCATAGCTACATGCTAGCATTGCAGATGGAGCTGGCATGTAAGCATGAATTCCAGCATTTGCAGCTGAGGAAGACAGCAAGAACTGAAACATATTCTCATTACTTTTTTTCATGCCTTCTTACTGTAAATACATAGATTTTTACATCTGATGAAGTCTGCAAGCTGTCTAGTCTGGCCTTCTTCCTAACAGAATTTCTTGCATCAGTTCTGCTGTGAGGTTTCAGATGTGTATGTGTAAACTATATTTTCTTGTAAAATATGTCATTGACTTTACCACTTGTTAATCATTCCATTTCCTTTACTGAACAAGTTTTGCTTGTGGCCATTGCCCACGTTATCATGACAAGATTGTCACACTGCATAGCAGTATACATGATAACATGTTATTTCCTACTTCCTTCTTGGATGACTGTCGTCCTAGATTCCACTGTTCACGAGTTGTTCTCTGCATGTAGGAATAGATGATATGGCTGTGTGCATACATAACCTCTGTATTTCACAGCAAATGGTCAGCCAGCTTCACTGTTGTTTTCCTGCTTTTGAGTGTGAGGTAGAATCCTTCAATTTTTGCTACTCTGCTAATCCTATAGTTAGTACCAATTAGTTAACGTGTTATTTTCATCTCCCTTTTTTATGCCTGGCTGGCTACATATTTGAAGAAGGCTTTTCTTTTTACTGTTAAGAGCTTCTTCAAGGCTGGGATTTAACTGAAATGAAATCTCTCACATCTGAGAAATGTTCTTCTGAAAAGACAGAGTACTTTTAAAAGTGGCTCTTTGACCTCTAGTTGTGATAGCAGTACTTAAATACCATAGCAGGGATTCCCCAAATGGCTGTCAAAGTCACAGGCCTGAAAGGAATAACATCTATTCAGCAGGAAGAAAAATTCTCATCAGCTTGCCAGATGCACCATCATTGAGAAATCAGTCCTTGAAAGTACATTTCTAAACCCTTTTTCTTTGAGTTTTTATATCACCTCCTTGAAAAAAAGGAGGTTAAAGTGATCAATGAAACAAGAGATCCTGCACTGAGACTGAACATCAGTATGCTGACTGTTAACAGCTATCAGAGTGAACCATTCAGACATAGTTCAAAATATATTAATTTACAGCACGAGCCATACTGCCTGATTCACACCAAATGGGAGATATTCCCAACATAATGTCATATTTTTGTGTAGTTCCTACTTCTAGCAACCATGAATTATCTTGTATTCTGGGACACTCATCAGTTCCACAAATAACAATCTCTGCACATCACCCAGTTGTCTACAGTCATACTTGCCATGATTCTTTCCAAATCTGGGGTTGCTAAATTTCTCAAAAGCATTTTTTTTTCCTTGTTTCCAGTAATCCAGGGACCCTAAGGAGGACTTTTTCTATTATTCAGATGTATCAGTGGCACTTGTCTTGATTCCCTAGAAATTGCCTAGCTATTTTTAAAATGTTATCAAAGCTATGGAAAATTCACATCTGACCAACCATCTCCAGAGTGTCATGAAAAATGAAATAATTATTAGACTAACTTTTCTTGCAGATTTTCATCACAAGCCTAAATGGTCTTTTAAAGATTCAGACAGAGATAAGGGAGATATAAGAGAGTGTCTTAGGCTCTAGCACAACAATTTTGGACACTAGCTCCCAAAAATAGTCTTTTCTCTTAAACAGGAGGGACAGGTATTAAAAAAACAGAATTTGTGTTGACAGTGTATATTAGATATACTATGGTAAAATAAGAAATAAGAACTTTTCAGAGTTTGTCGGTGTTGTTCTTCATTTCCTGGTTTTCAGGGGTTTAAATATACCTATTTTCACAATATACCAACAGAAGCATAGTTTGTAACAGCATGTTACCCTTAACTTTGGGCTTTTTCTTTAAAGCTCTGAGGCATTTGCTTTGAACTCAGAAAATGCAGTCCATATTACCTTTAAGAAAAGAAAGCAAATCCAGGTGTCCGATACAACACTGTCTTCCCTGCATTGTATTCCAAATGGCAATGACTCACCTTTTTTCCATCATAAGACTAGTATCTGATTTATAAATTTGAGGAAATTGAACTATGAAATACTGCATCATAATGTAAAAATACAACCTGTGCCTGCTTAAGTACTTGTAGATTCAGTGCTCCTGAGAAGCTGGCACAATCTTAAATTTGAGTATATTTATCATAAACCCATTTGCAGGTTTATAAATTAAATATTAATGGTGTTGGTCACATACCATTTATTGACACTGAATGAAATACTAAACCATTGAAATCCTGGAAAAGTAAACAGAAATATTTAAGTAGGCATCAGACTTTTCAGGACACTCTCCTGTTCACTGTAAATAAATATGATGAATAGGCCTCTTTCTGGTAAGTACAAAGCTCTCAAATAGAAGTTTCTACTACAAAGATCTACATGAAGATCTTGAAACAGTTAGAGCTTGTGTCATCTCTCTACCTTGGTGGCATTTTGTCAGTCAAGAGCTCTTTTAGAAATGCCATCTGTGATATAAGGTTGGCTGAGAGGAAAGAAACCACTTGGTAGACCACATCAACAAACACAGGACATCACAACATAAAGGTATATAAACACAGGGGTCATAAAAATGGCAGGTAAAACTATGCATTCAGTGTTGGTCCTTCCTTGCTGAGCTCATCAAAGATGAACTTCTTATAAACTTCTTTAGCTTTAACACCTATTGTTGCACAAATCAGGAAAACAGTAATACTTAAATCACAAGATCTCAGTGCAAGGAGTACTGTGAGCTGCCTGGAAATCAGAGATATCAAAACTGCTTAATCTTGTTTGAATAACTCTGTTGACCTTACATTATTTCCTTGTTTTTATAGGGCACTGAAGAGTTAGAAGTTCGAATCCTGGTACAAGCCCGACCAGGCCAAGATATCAGGTCTGTAAACAGCCTGTTTCATGAACAGTAAAAACATCTGTAAGAAAAGAAGGGCTGATGGTGATTTTTACAGTCATTGTTTAGCCTTAAGTACTACTGGCATTTTGACAATCTGACTAATGATCATCCTTGAACACTTCTCAACTGAAGCCAGACCAATCAAGGAAAGATGCTTTCATTCTCATTCTGTTTTTCATTTTGTCTGTGCTACTATTTTCAGACCTATAGGACATGACATTAAAAGAGGGGAATGTGTGCTGGCTAAAGGAACTCACATGGGTCCATCTGAGATTGGTCTCTTAGCCACTGTTGGAGTAACCGAAGTAGAAGTTAACAAGTTTCCAGTGGTTGCAGTCATGTCAACAGGGAATGAGGTAAGGAAAATAACTTCAGAATCAAGGTCTGAATAATTCTTACCTTCAGCAGAAGAGGAATGCTGTTTTGGATAATGATTTCCACTCTATTTCCAAGTAGACTGGCTTTTTGAGCCATCATAACTCATGCTGAGACAACTCAGCTCATGTCGACGTGAAGTATGAAGCCTGTTGTGCTTCCTTCTCCACAGGATCATAGGTTCTTGCTCTCTCACAAATCTCCCACAGTGTATTTGCCAAAATTTTGGTAATGCATCCAGCCTTGTGTCGGTTACTATCTTCTTGCCAACCAGAGAGGAGAACCTGTGGGGTACTAAGGGCTATGATGTATACTGCCAGTCATGACTGGAAGAGTAATTTCTTTTGAGCAGCACTCCTCTGTAGCTGTTGAGTAAATAAATAGCAGGTAACTTGTCTCTGAAAACTGAATGATACTGCAAATGCCCTTCTGCAGTATTGTATCTTAGTATTCTCATTATTTGTAGCCCATGTTGAAGTTCAGACAAATGTACTAGCCAATACATCAAAACACAACCATTCTCCACTTTTGTTTACTCTCTACCTTACTATCTAACATCATTGCTGATATATTCTTATTACTTACCTCCCTATGTTCTACAAAAGAATTCCTAATGTATGTAAAATGCGTGTTTACATATGTATGTTTTGTAGTAGAACTTCCAAAATACTCATATAAGAACAAAGCTGTTGTTTCTATTTTCCAAGGCAATTTGAATTACATCTTCATTATAAAGCTTCAAATTTTCTTTTAATACTTTTAAATCTGGATAACAACATCACTGAGGTTCCTATAAAACCATTTAAGTACAAAGAATAACTTGGACACTTAAAGTTTTGTATTGATGTATACTGTACCCATTAGGAGAAAGCAGATTTTGCAGACATGGACCAATAGAAACTAAGCAAAATGGAGAATTACACTTTACAAGGACATCACATATCTTGTTAATTTAAATTCACGAAATCACTTTTCATACATATTTTATGACATCTGTCTGACAATGTCCTGTCCAATCTGAAGAAGAAAATTCTCATTAATTTAAAGAAACAGTGGTCTGAGGAGATTGACTAATAGTATTCCTGGTTTTATAGCTACTGAATCCTGAAGACGATCTCTTGCCAGGAAAGATTCGAGACAGTAACCGCTCAACTCTCCTAGCTACTATCCAAGAACATGGCTATCCAACAATCAACTTGGGAATTGTGGGAGATAAGTAAGTACAATATGTTAGTAAGGATGTAACTTTGTATTCATGTGATTCACTTTACAGCATCTGTGGAGAAAAAACATACCAGAGAAGCTGTCACTCATTTTAAGTATCACTGAGTTGTGTCAGTGCATATCTTGGAGGAGACATTTTATTCTTTACATTAAGAAATATTAAGAGTAATAATCTGATAAACTTTTTATTAGATGTCATTTATCTTATTTTACCTTCCGTTTGTTGAAATATTTATTACAGCTGCAAATTGATTTTATTGCTGCAGTGTCATCACGAGCACTGTATTTAGTACATGTGAAAACCCACCTCTGTGGAGACATTTCTACAAGAACTATACTTTTTTCTGATCCAGTAAAGGGAGAATGAAGATTTCTCTCAAAGTTTATTTTCCAGGAGAAAATTAATTTAAGGAATAATTTTTTTGTCAAATGTTGAGACTTGCTAGAAATAGGTTATTCCTTGTGGATGATTAGAAGTAAGGCCAGATCAGAAAAAAAATATTGAATCTCAGCACCCATATCTCACCTTGACTGATGACAGAATTCCCAAGCAGGGAGACAAAGTTACTGCTGGGGAACAGCTTTTTTCAAAACCAGTCTTCCCTAATGCACATCTTTAGCTTAACAGGAAGTATGAATGGGCCTAAAAGTGTGTGATTTTATGATATCTAAACCAACCTAAATGATGGCTTCAGGAAATGGAGTTTTATTTGAAGTCTTTGTACACAAAATGTGACACAACAACTGCAGTGATTCTTGTGATCTTAGGGGAAGCAAACCCTTCTGGATACTACCTCTGCATCCAGACAGCACTCTTGTTTCTCTGGCCTGATAGAACTCAGTAAGACCTTTGACACAGTCCCTCACAACATCCTTCTCTCCAAATTGGAAAAATATGAATTTGATGGGTGGACCATTCAGTGAATGACAAACAGGTTGCAAGCTCATACCCAGAGAGTGGTGGTTCATGGCTCAATCTCCTGGTGGAGATCAGTGATTAGTGGTGTCCCTCAGGGGTCAGTACTGGGATCAATGCTCTTTAATATCTTCATTAATGATATTAACAGTGAGATCAAGTGTACTCGCAGCAAGTTTACAGATGACACTAAACTGTGTGGTGTGGTCAGACATGCCTGAGAGATGGGATGCCATCTAAAGAGATCTTGAACAGAGAGGCCAGGAAAACTTCACGAGGTTCAACAAATCCAAGTGCAAGGTTTTGCACCTAGGCCATGGCAACCGCCATTGTCAGTACAAGCTGGGAGATGAAAGAATTGGACATAGCCCTGCTGAAAAGGACTTGAGAGTAGTGGTGGATGGCAAGCTGGACGTGAGCCAGCAATGTGCCCTCACAGCCCAGAAAGCCAGCTGTGTCCTGGGCTGCATCAAAAGAAGCATGGCCAGCAGATCAAGGGAGGTGATCCTGCCCCTCTACTCTGTGCTGGTGAGACCTCACCTGAAGTTCTGTGTCCAGATGTGGAGTACAGGAGAGTCATGGACCTGTTAGAGCACGTCCAGAAAGGAACCACAAAAATGATCTAAGGGATGGAGCACCTCTTTATGAGGACAGGCTGAGAGAGCTGGGGCTGTTCAGCCATGAGAAGAGAAGGCTCCGGGGAGACCTGATACAGGCCTTTCAGTATCTGTCTAAATCAAATACCATCAGGTGTAAAGTCTAACATGGAATCATCATGCAAAACTGTAGCCTTTTACTTAATTGCTTTCAAGAAGAATCTGTGGAGATTCACGGGCACAGAGTGCGTGAAAATAAATAATTTTGAAAGCTCTCAGTAATAAGTACAAATAGTTTTAGTGATGTGAGATCCAAGTATGTTTGTGGGTTTTTTTTAACTTTTATAGCATAATTACATGTTGCAACCCCTTTTTTATTTGTTGGATAAGAGCTGAAAAGCAGCAAATATATGCATGCATCAAAGGTAGACAAATGTTGCAGTTTTGCTTTCAGTTATGAGAGAGATTGATGCTTCTGAATTCTCCCTAATAAAATCTCTGTGTCTTGAGATAATACTATCTGGGCCCTGTGGAGAAGGACCTAGGGGTCCTGGTGGACAAGAAGCTGGATGTGAGCCAGCAGTGTACGATTGCAGCCCAGCAGGCCATCTGTATTCTGGTCTGCATTAAAAAAGGGGTGGCCAGCAGGGAGAGGGAGGTGATTGTTTGGCTCTTGTAAGGCTCCATCTGGAGTACTGCGTGCAGGCCTGGGGCTGCCAGTAGAGGAAGGAGATGGAATTCTTGGAGCGGGTCCAGAGGAGGGCCACTAAGATTATTAGGGGTCTGGAGCACCTCTCCTGTGAGGACAGGTTGAGGGAACTGGGATTGTTGAGCTTGGAGAAGAAAAGGCTCCAGGGAGACCTCATTGTAGCCTTCCAGTACTTGAAGGGAGTGTATAAGCAGGAGGGGAACTGTCTTTTTATGAGGATAGATAGTGATAAGACAAGGGGGAATAGTTTTAAACTGAGACAGGGGAGATTTAGGTTAGATATTAGGAGGAAGTTTTTCACAGAGGGTGATGACACACTGGAACAGGTTGCCCAAGGTGGTTGTGGATGCCCCATCCCTGGAGGCATTCAAGGGCAGGCTGGATGTGGCTGCAGGCAGTCTGGTCTGGTGGTTGGCGACCCTGCCCATGGCAGAGGGTTGAAACTAGATGATCTTTGAGGTCCTTTTCAACCCAGGCCATTCTATGATTCTATGAAAGGTAATAAGAAATTCTTTTTAAGCTTTCGGTTTCACGCTTGGGGGGTCATTTCTGCAGAGGAGTTACTTTTAGTTCAGAGAATAGAAGTAGTGAGCCTCCAATTCTAGAGTGATTTTGTAATTTGTAGTAAGTTTTGAAAGAAGAATTTGTTACTGTTGACTTAGTGAAGAATTCTCACCACCTGATAAAAAGAACCTTGCAAGTCTTTCATCTCCCTTTCTTATACCAGCATACCTTGTTCATAAATTTACATCAAAACACATCTGCAATCAAATATAAAATCTGATTATCTGATTACATAAATAAGTTTGATAACCAGTATAATGTTATTTCATTAGATAAAGTTACTGAGAGAGTGTTGTCTGTGTGGATATTTCAATATATATCTTTCTGACCAACACGACTGCCTTGATGGAGTAACACAGCGCTTGAAAAATGCAAGAGACTTACCAAACAGATCTTATGAAGGATACAATTTTGATTTTTTGGTTAGCATGTCTGTGGAAAAGATGAACAAGCCTTTAGTGTCTGTTAAATGGTTTACAGGAGTTAAACCATAGATTATATATGTTTGCATGTGCCCATGTATATGTGCAGTCTATTTTGTACATATTTACATATGTAAATAGAGAGTGAAAAAGAGAAAGACTCTATACCTGCTATGCCTACAGAACAGACGTGGTAAAAACCCTAGGAAACTATGAACTTCCCCAGAAGGAAAATTTAAAACTTGTAATACTTCCTTCAAAGTCCTCACTGTTACGTATTTCCCCCTCTCTCCTATTTCATTGCTGGGGCTTGTATTTTTAGCACTTTTTTTCTACTTTTTTTTTCCTTACACATTTTACATTGAGTAAATTTTTACATCTTACAAAGAGCAGCACTTCCAGTACACCATAAGCACTGAAGCTAATAGGAAGCATAGTTGAGTATTATTATTTCCATAACAGGTCAATTTTCTGTCCGTCATATATAAGAAGCTGGTACTTAAGCATGAGAATTGTTTTGCTTACCTCTTTGTATAGAGGTAAGTATTCCTATGTGTCATTTCAGCATATGAATCACTCAAAGATATTTATTTATGAAAACAGCACATCCAGCTGAGGTGTGAACACAGTGACAGCTGCTTCAAAGCTCAAGACTGTGATACATGTGAACACATTCCAGCAGGGAATGTGAAAGGATGGAGGAGCGTGGTACCTCTGCAGGTGGCTGCAGAATAGTTATGTTCAACTTTAAAATGTCTTTGCATCTTAATTGTACGTTGTTATGTTTCAAACAGGCCACTCAAGTTGCACTTCCATATTTTGTATTTTCAACTGAAAGCAGTATGTGTTAACTGTTAACCATTTTAACAGTTTCTGAGATTGTCATTGTTTCCGTTCTCATAAATTGTATATAGGATACAGAATTTAAAATTAAAAACACAAGTCCAAAACACACAGATAAAATCTGCAGTTAAAATCGTAAATGCAACCAGTAGGAGAAAAGAACAAACCTGGAAAATAGGTTTGTAAGTAACATACATAGCAAAAGCTGTGTTATATAGCTGAAGCTGTTTAAACACCATTTTCTCTGTCTGTGGTCTTAACACATGAAAACACACATCTCTGAGGTTGAAATGGAAGATATTACCACAGAATTACTACAAAAACAAAAAATGTATGCAAAGTCAAAGAAGGGAGAGCCCTTCTGATGTTGTTTTAGTTGCCGTACCTTATGTCTTTGTCTGAATAACTTCCTAAAAATTACAGATCAGCTGACCAGTTAAAACTGACACTCTAATGTACTTTTGTCTGTTGTCTCATGTAGCAAGACCAGGTTACAAAAGGCTTCTAATTTCATTTCCTTTGCTTATAGTTTCTGAAATTATTTGGTTCTGTAGAAGCTGTTGATAAAACATGTGATCATCTCAGTTCTGAGCTGTACAGCTCTACTAACCTAATGATCAGGGTATTTTTGTGTCTGCCTTTCATTTCTGGTCTTCTTTGTGTCCCTCATTTATTTAATACTGTGATGTTTATCCGTAGTAAAATCTGCTATAGAGTGTGCCTCAAGTTTAGAAAGCCATCTTCCATTTTGACAGTTTTCTATCAATGAGAGATTCATTTTGCTCAATTTGCCAAAGAATTTTAATGACATTTGTAATGAATTCAGTTTCCTCATATGTTTTTACCTTTAAGTTCATTTTTCCTCTTCTCTGCATTCATTTCTCTGTTTTTGAATTTGCTTATCATCTTTTCTCAGAGACATATTAATAACATTAGCTGCTT